TATGAGTTTTGAATTTTTCAAAATTCCCATCCTGTTGAAAATTTTGTTTATTTTCAGGTGAACCTTAATTAAAGGTGGTTTTTGATTATATGTAATCTATAATATAAGCGGGCTGAGCGTGTCCTTCCTTCCTTCCGTCCGTCATCGCTATAGATTTTGGGACTATAAAAGTAAACTGCGCACCACGCTGTGCTTTTCAGTGCACCGCAGTGTCTTATTATATGTATTAGAGTAGGGTTTGTTTATATAGCGGCAAAGAGCTATTTTATAATTTCCACTGTTTGTACAATTTTGCATAACGTAAAGAGAATATTAAATACACGCACATTGCTAAAACATATTAAAAGGATCAATGTCAAATATAGTTTTCGTTAATATTCCCAGAAAAAAATGGATATATTATCATGAAATTAGGTCGAAAAAACTAATTAATTCAACTTTTTTTTGGTATTTTTTTTGCAAGGGAGGTAATTTGAAAATATATTTAACTCATCAATATCTAAGTTAATCTTTTTTTTTATTACTACCGCATTGATTATTATATGTTAAGGTTCATAATTAAAATAGAAAAATGTTAAGATTATTTATATTATTTATTATTATTTTCTAATTAGTCTATGATTTCTCAAAAATCACTATCTTTTTGCTTTTGTTTTTCGGTGTTATGAAAACAGATGGTGAAATTAGACTTTTTGAGAAGAATGGAACGGCTCTCTCTGAGCGCGGACGTATGGGAAAATGTTTTTTTTTTAATATTCAACTCACTCTCAATAATTTAAGTTAATTTTTTTTATTACTTCCACATTGATTATTATATGTTAAGGTTCATAAGTAAAATAGAAAAATGTTAAGATTATTTATATTATTTTCTAATTAGTCTATGATTTATCAATATCACTATTTTTTGTTTTTGTTTTTCGGTGTTAACAGATGGTGAAATTTTAGAATTATAGTATAGAGAATGCTGAAAAGGCTCTCTCTCTGGGCGCGGACGCCTGTGAAAAGCGTGTTTTTCGGTGGTGATTCTAATTACATTACCAATGTGTTTTCTTAGAACCATAAAAGTAAACACCACTTGCCGTACATTTATTTGCATCGCATTGTTTTATTGTAAGTTATGGAGTAGAATCTATTTATGTGACCTAAATAAAGGCTCTCTTTGGGCGCGGACGCCTAAATAAGCGTGTTGTTTGGTGGTGATTCTAATGTTGTGGCTGTGGTTGTGTTGTGGTTGTGTTGTGGTTGTGTTGTGGTGGTGTTGTGGTTGTGTTGTGGTTGTGTTGTGGTTGTGTTTTGTTTGTGTTGTGGTTGCGTTGTGGTTGTGTTGTGGTTGTGTTGTGGTTGTGTTTTGTTTGTGTTGTGGTTGCGATGTGGTTGCGATGTGGTTGTGTTGTGGTTGTTTTGTGGTTGTGTTGTGGTTGTGTTGTGGTTGTGTTGTGGTTGTGTTGTGGTTGTGTTGTGGTTGTGTTGTTGTTGTGTTGTGGTTGTGTTGTGGTTGTGTTTTGTTTGTGTTGTGGTTGCGTTGTGGTTGTGTTGTGGTTGCGATGTGGTTGTGTTGTGGTTGTGGTTGTGTTGTGTTTGTTTTTGTGCTGTGTTTTTGTTTTTGTTCTGTTCCAAAGTTGTACATTTAAAAAGATTTACCGTGGCGGAGCACGGGATGCAGCTAGTCTATAATATAAGCGGGCTGTGTCTGTCCTTCCTTCCTTCCTTCCGTCCGTCATCGCTATAGATTTTGGGACTATAAAAGTAAACTACGCACCATGCTGTGCTTTTCAGTGCACCGCAGTGTCTTATTATAAGAATTAGAGTAGGGTTTGTTTATATAGCGGCATAGAGCTATTTTATAATTTCCACTGTTTGTACAATTTTGCATAACGTAAAGAGAATATTAAATACACGCACATTGCTAAAACATATTAAAAGGATCAATGTCAAATATAGTTTTCGTTAATATTCCTAGAAAAAGTGGATACATTTTAATAACATAATAACTGTAGGTTAGAAAATCAAATGAATTTAACTCTTTTCTAATTTTGACAAAGGAGGTAATTTAAAAATACATTAAACTCACGCTAATAAAAAATGTGACTGCAAATATACGTTCGTCATAGAAGGAATTAGTGTTGCAATAATATAATTAGCAAAATGTGAATGCAAATTATTCGGATGTGTAAGAGGAAATTATTATTAAAAGGCAATCTTTTATTTATTTTAATGTAGGCCCTACTGTTTATTACTTATAATTTTTAATCAACTATTCAGCACTATTATCGACGCGTCATCACGTTCATTAGGTGCGCAATGGTTTTAGTTATGAAACTATTGTAAATTTTTAAAATTTAAAGTACTGGAAAAAAAATGCGTAAATGGATACAGTGAAATATTGTAGGTAAAACACGGATATTTTAAATACTGCCTATTATTCACACTGTTTTCTAATTATTATTCTATATCTTGGGTTTTATAGGAGAGTCGTAGCGAGGGGGGGGGGGGGCATATGTCCCCGGGTGCCGACCCTAGGGGGCGCCAAAGTGCGTTGGAAAAAATTTGCGAGGGGGGGGTGGAAATCGAAAGTTTTAGGGCGGGGGGTGGACAGGGGTGCAAATCGAAAGTTTGAGGGGGGTGCAAATCACCGGAAAGGGCGCGATTTGGCGCTACGGGCTAGACTGTGAGCAATATGCCTTTATGATTGCATTTAAATTGTGTTTATGTTATGAGTGTTGTGTTTGTTTTTTCGTTTGTGTTTTTTTTTTGCGTTCGTTTGTGTTGTGTTTAGTTTTGTTCTGTTCCCAAGTTGGTACATTTAAAAAAGATTTACCGTGGCGGAGCACGGGATGCAGCTAGTCTTTTATAATAATATGTCTCATATGACTCAGTTGATATTGTAGCTAGTCGTTGAAATAAAGGTCTTACCCTGTCGGGTTTACCCCTTTTAATATCCACATGGAAATATTGTAATACCCTTTTTTTGAGGGATTTTAATGTATAATTATTTTTTGAAGGGTTACTCCCCTTTCACGAATTGTAAAAGTTTGAGTTACTTCCCTTTTATGTTCAGGGATATTTTCATCTGGTATTAAGATTTTGATTGCCTACATTTGTAAAACATTTTTTTTATTTCATTGCCAGATTGGTTCCTTATGTATGTTTTTGTGGAACCTATCTGTCACTTCCAAAAAGGGAGGGGATGTGACCTACTTAGGTCCAGTAATGTTTTATTTTGACATTGTGTTAATACCATATATGGAGTGATGGTGCAACTACCGGGGTTTTTCCACTGTCTTATTAAGAGTGTCTAAGACGTAGAAATTTTCCATCAAGATCTGATTGATTAATTCAGACCAGATAACCACCCCATAGCTCAGTGGCTAGGATCTCGGCGCGCCACGGCGGCGGCCGAGGTTCGATTACTCGGTGAGAAACTGAGTATAGTCTATGGTGTCTAGTGGTTTAGTGGCTTAGAAACTCGGTTTGCAGCCGAGTAGTGTGGCACAGTGGTTAGGAACACCATTAGTGGCCTAGTGGTTAGAATCACATAGGTGTCACACAATAGGAAACACAACCAGCACGAGAACAGTAGCTCAAGTAGCCTTGAGTGATCTGTGAGTCTCCATAGAGACTTGTCCGCGCAGGCAGTCTACCTTGATCAAAGGGTCTATTAAGACCAGGCCGTCCATTTTGTCCGGCAATAGATTCTGACCATTTGAACGTGAGAGAACTTAAGTCCTGAGTGTGCTAAGCTTTCTTAAGTTGTTTTAGTCTTCTAGTATAATATTACTTGCCGCCAAGTGATTCTTGAAGCTATAGCAGTGTTGTGTGACCTGTGGCTATTTTTATACAGTGTTCAAATCTGTGATACTATTTTTTCTTACGCTTTGTAAGTTGGGTTTTGTTATTTTCTAAATTAAATATTTTATCTCGTTTAACCTAGTGTTCTGCCACAACTGTGTTCGCTTATTAAAGGTTGTCTGCAGATTGAATGAGTTGTTAACTTCAATAGTATCACTAGTTTTCCCTAGACATCGAAATCGAGCCCTAGTGTGTTGTTGGGTTAGCGTTCATTCATTTAGGCTTTAAGTCATTTGCATATAACCCCGAAAAAAGAATCCGGGGACGTTCACCATCTATCTGGCTGGTAGATAGGTAAACGTTACAGGAGACATTCGGGTTCGAACTTCAGCGAACTACTACTAGACCACGCCCTGCCCCTCACCCCACCACACAACAAAATATAAATGATAAAATGTCACACCACGTCCCCCTTTGTGGTACATAATATGTGCACAATCTCTAAAAGTACCCCTGCCGATGTGATAAATACATGTGTCAATGAAAGTTTCCTGGGACTGGGGAAGTTTATAAAACCGGTATTCTATATGCGACACCAATACAGAGGCGTAGCGAGGGGGGGCGGGGACATATGTCCCCGGGCGCCGACCTAAGGGAGGGGGGCGCCAAATTGAAAATTTGAGAGGGGGGGGGTGCAAATGAAAAGTTTCTAAAGGGGGGGGGTGCAAATCGAAAGTTTCTAGGGGGGGGGGGGTGCAAATCGCAAGTTTGAGGGGGGGTTGCAAATGAAAAGTTCGAGGGGGGGGGTGCAAATCGAAAGTTTGTCCCCGGGCGCCGGGAAGGGTCGCTACGCCTCTGCATCAATATCATAACGGTAGCCATGTTTTCCGGGGCCAAAAATGTTTTCTGACACGGAGCTAGTATCAGCACTTTAAGAGGAAACGGCAAAAATGTCACACACTGTTATAGTTCCAGATTTTAAAAAGATATTGAATCTGTGTTTGAGATATTAATTCTTTCACCCGTATTTGCACAGTGAGTTTTTGATAGTTTTTTTTAAATTGTGGCTAACAGAATGGTCACCGTGCCTGTAGGTAATTGATATGGAGGGGACTATGGCTGCGACTCTGGTTGGGGAAATGGCTGAGACTATGGCTAGGACTATGGCTGAGACTACGGCTGGGCAGCTAGAATGAAAGGCTGGTACTCACTGTGTTGAGAACACATCTTGAGATGGTCAGCTTGATGGCATCTCTCAACTCTGTCAGGCTTGTGGCGTCCAACACAGGCATCAACGCGTCCTGGGGAGGGAAAGGTTTCATCTGGTTAACGTGTGGTCAAGTCAATAAGACATTATCGTGTGGTCAATACAGACATCGTGTGGTCAATACAGACAGCAAGGTGTGGTCAAGACAGACAGCAATGTGTGGTCAATATAGACAGCAAGGTGTGGTCAATAGAGCCTTCAAGGTGTGGTCAATACAGACATTATCGTGTGGTCAATACAGACAGCAAGGTGTGGTCAAGAGGCAGCATGGTGTGGTCAATACAGACATCAATGTGTGGTCAATACAGACATCAATGTGTGGTCAATACAGACATCGTGTGGTCAATACAGACATCGTGTGGTCAATACAGACATCGTGTGGTCAATACAGACGGCAAGGTGTGGTCAATACAGACATCAAAGTGTGGTCAATACAGACATCGTGTGGTCAATACAGACATCAAAGTGTGGTCAATACAGACAGCATGGTGTGGTCAATACAGACATCAAAGTGTGGTCAATACAGTCATTATCGTGTGGTCAATACAGTCATCAAGGTGTGGTCAAGAGGCAGCATGGTGTGGTCAATACAGACATCAATGTGTGGTCAATACAGACAGCAATGTGTGGTCAATACAGACATCGTGTGGTCAATACAGACGGAAAGGTGTGGTCAATACAGACATCAAAGTGTGGTCAATACAGACAGCAATGTGTGGTCAATACAGACATCGTGTGGTCAATACAGACGGCAAGGTGTGGTCAATACAGACATCAAAGTGTGGTCAATACAGACATCGTGTGGTCAATACAGACATCGTGTGGTCAATACAGACAGCATGGTGTGGTCAATACAGACATCAAAGTGTGGTCAATACAGACAGCATGGTGTGGTCAATACAGACATCAAAGTGTGGTCAATACAGACAGCATGGTGTGGTCAATACAGACAGCATGGTGTGGTCAATACAGACAGCATGGTGTGGTCAATACAGACAGCAAGGTGTGGTCAATACAGACAGCATGGTGTGGTCAATACAGACAGCATGGTGTGGTCAATACAGACAGCATGGTGTGGTCAATACAGACAGCAAGGTGTGGTCAATACAGACATCGTGTGGTCAATACAGACAGCAAGGTGTGGTCAATACAGACAGCATGGTGTGGTCAATACAGACAGCAAGGTGTGGTCAATACAGACAGCAAGGTGTGGTCAATACAGACATCGTGTGGTCAATACAGACAGCAAGGTGTGGTCAATACAGACAGCAAGGTGTGGTCAATACAGACAGCAAGGTGTGGTCAATACAGACATCGTGTGGTCAATACAGACAGCAAGGTGTGGTCAATACAGACATTAAGGTGTGGTCAATACAGGCAGCAAGGTGTGGTCAATACAGACAGCAAGGTGTGGTCAATACAGACATCGTGTGGTCAATACAGACATCGTGTGGTCAATACAGACAGCATGGTGTGGTCAATACAGACATTAAGGTGTGGTCAATACAGACAGCAAGGTGTGGTCAATACAGACATTAAGGTGTGGTCAATACAGACAGCAAGGTGTGGTCAATACAGACATTAAGGTGTGGTCAATACAGGCAGCATGGTGTGGTCAATACAGACAGCATGGTGTGGTCAATACAAAAATCAAAGTGTGGTCAATACAGACATCGTGTGGTCAATACAGACAGCAAGGTGTGGTCAATACAGACAGCAAGGTGTGGTCAATACAGACAGCAAGGTGTGGTCAATACAGACAGCAAGGTGTGGTCAATACAGACATCGTGTGGTCAATACAGACAGCAAGGTGTGGTCAATACAGACAGCAAGGTGTGGTCAATACAGACAGCAAGGTGTGGTCAATACAGACAGCAAGGTGTGGTCAATACAGACATCGTGTGGTCAATACAGACAGAAAGGTGTGGTCAATACAGACATCGTGTGGTCAATACAGACAGCAAGGTGTGGTCAATACAGACATCGTGTGGTCAATACAGACAGCAAGGTGTGGTCAATACAGACAGCAAGGTGTGGTCAATACAGACATCGTGTGGTCAATACAGACAGCATGGTGTGGTCAATACAGACAGCAAGGTGTGGTCAATACAGACAGCAAGGTGTGGTCAATACAGACAGCATGGTGTGGTCAATACAGACATCGTGTGGTCAATACAGACATCGTGTGGTCAATACAGACAGCAAGGTGTGGTCAATACACAACAGCAAGGTGTGGTCAATACAGACATCGTGTGGTCAATACAGACAGCAAGGTGTGGTCAATACAGACATCGTGTGGTCAATACAGACAGCAAGGTGTGGTCAATATAGACAGCAAGGTGTGGTCAATACAGACAGCAATGTGTGGTCAATACAGACAGCAAGGTGTGGTCAATACAGACATCGTGTGGTCAATACAGACAGCAAGGTGTGGTCAATACACAACAGCAAGGTGTGGTCAATACAGACATCGTGTGGTCAATACAGACATCGTGTGGTCAATACAGACAGCAATGTGTGGTCAATACAGACAGCAAGGTGTGGTCAATACAGACATCGTGTGGTCAATACAGACATCGTGTGGTCAATACAGACAGCAAGGTGTGGTCAATACAGACAGCAAGGTGTGGTCAATACAGACAGCAAGGTGTGGTCAATACAGACATTAAGGTGTGGTCAATACAGACAGCAAGGTGTGGTCAATACAGACAGCAAGGTGTGGTCAATACAGACATCATGGTGTGGTCAATACAGACAGCAAGGTGTGGTCAATACAGACATCGTGTGGTCAATACAGACAGCAAGGTGTGGTCAATACAGACATCGTGTGGTCAATACAGACATCGTGTGGTCAATACAGACAGCAAGGTGTGGTCAATACAGACAGCAAGGTGTGGTCAATACAGACATCGTGTGGTCAATACAGACATCGTGTGGTCAATACAGACAGCAAGGTGTGGTCAATACAGACAGCAAGGTGTGGTCAATACAGACAGCAAGGTGTGGTCAATACAGACAGCAAGGTGTGGTCAATACAGACAGCAAGGTGTGGTCAATACAGACAGCAAGGTGTGGTCAATACAGACATCGTGTGGTCAATACAGACATCGTGTGGTCAATACAGACATCGTGTGGTCAATACAGACATCGTGTGGTCAATACAGACAGCAAGGTGTGGTCAATACAGACATCGTGTGGTCAATACAGACAGCAAGGTGTGGTCAATACAGACATCGTGTGGTCAATACAGACAGCAAGGTGTGGTCAATACAGACAGCAAGGTGTGGTCAATACAGACATCGTGTGGTCAATACAGACAGCAATGTGTGGTCAATACAGACAGCAAGGTGTGGTCAATACAGACAGCAAGGTGTGGTCAATACAGACATTGTGTGGTCAATACAGACAGCAAGGTGTGGTCAATACAGACATCGTGTGGTCAATACAGACATCGTGTGGTCAATACAGACAGCAATGTGTGGTCAATACAGACAGCAAGGTGTGGTCAATACAGTCATCGTGTGGTCAATACAGACATCGTGTGGTCAATACAGACATCGTGTGGTCAATACAGACATTGTGTGGTCAATACAGACAGCAAGGTGTGGTCAATACAGACAGCAAGGTGTGGTCAATACAGACATCGGGTGGTCAATACAGACAGCAAGGTGTGGTCAATACAGACATCAAAGTGTGGTCAATACAGACAGCAAGGTGTGGTCAATACAGACATCGTGTGGTCAATACAGACAGCATGGTGTGGTCAATACAGACATCGTGTGGTCAATACAGACAGCAAGGTGTGGTCAATACAGACAGCAAGGTGTGGTCAATACAGACATCGTGTGGTCAATACAGACAGCAAGGTGTGGTCAATACAGACAGCAAGGTGTGGTCAATACAGACAGCATGGTGTGGTCAATACAGACATCGTGTGGTCAATACAGACATCGTGTGGTCAATACAGACAGCAAGGTGTGGTCAATACAGACAGCATGGTGTGGTCAATACAGACATCGTGTGGTCAATACAGACATCGTGTGGTCAATACAGACAGCAAGGTGTGGTCAATACAGACAGCAAGGTGTGGTCAATACACAACAGCAAGGTGTGGTCAATACAGACATCGTGTGGTCAATACAGACATCGTGTGGTCAATACAGACAGCAAGGTGTGGTCAATACAGACAGCAAGGTGTGGTCAATACAGACAGCAATGTGTGGTCAATACAGACAGCAAGGTGTGGTCAATACAGACATCGTGTGGTCAATACAGACAGCAAGGTGTGGTCAATACACAACAGCAAGGTGTGGTCAATACAGACATCGTGTGGTCAATACAGACATCGTTTGGTCAATACAGACAGCAATGTGTGGTCAATACAGACAGCAAGGTGTGGTCAATACAGACATCGTGTGGTCAATACAGACATCGTGTGGTCAATACAGACAGCAAGGTGTGGTCAATACAGACAGCAAGATGTGGTCAATACAGACAGCAAGGTGTGGTCAATACAGACATTAAGGTGTGGTCAATACAGACAGCAAGGTGTGGTCAATACAGACAGCAAGGTGTGGTCAATACAGACATCATGGTGTGGTCAATACAGACAGCAAGGTGTGGTCAATACAGACAGCAAGGTGTGGTCAATACAGACAGCAAGGTGTGGTCAATACAGACAGCAAGGTGTGGTCAATACAGACAGCAAGGTGTGGTCAATACAGACATCGTGTGGTCAATACAGACAGCAAGGTGTGGTCAATACAGACATTAAGGTGTGGTCAATACAGGCAGCAAGGTGTGGTCAATACAGACAGCAAGGTGTGGTCAATACAGACATCGTGTGGTCAATACAGACATCGTGTGGTCAATACAGACAGCAAGGTGTGGTCAATACAGACATTAAGGTGTGGTCAATACAGACAGCAAGGTGTGGTCAATACAGACATTAAGGTGTGGTCAATACAGGCAGCATGGTGTGGTCAATACAAAAATCAAAGTGTGGTCAATACAGACATCGTGTGGTCA